ATTCACACTAAGCAGAACCCCTTGAGGAACCATGCTACTACTACTGTGGGAGTTTCTCTAACCGACAACCATCACTTAAGAACTATAGTGATGATACAACGCCTTACCTCGCGTTGCCGAGGCCCATCCTATACCTTGTTGTGATATAGAAAGCTAACTTTCACTAAGTGGATCCACTAGTCTATTGTGAAAATGATTCATCTAAAAAGTATGACCCTTTTCTTCCCATGATGGTTACATAATTTATGGAGACTTGAGTTAATATGAACTCGCATCCCTATATCGGTGCTCAATACTACTCTCAAAGACATACTTAGTTCTTTATGTTTAAAAAAAACTTCTTTCTTTGGTTTGAGATAATTACTCAAAACTTAGCTTAAAAGATCTCTTGGAATCGATATTCCCTTTTCTTTGCTCAAATGTGATAAACATTTATAAACTTCTTTGGGAATATATAGTTCCCTAAATACTTTTGAGAAATGAACTCAACTCTTACTCTTTGCTTTACTTGAAACTTGAGCCTTAAAACAAAGTAAAAACGTTTAATAAAGACTCTTGAAAACTTTAAGAAACTTAGCTTTGACTTGCTTCTTAACTTCTAGACTTGACTCTTAACTTCTTTGACTTTGATCTTAACTATCCTTGAATTGAATTATGGATTCAAGGCTCATGATCTCATGTCTATAGATGATTTCATGATGTTTAGATGTACCTTAGAGTGTTAGAATCAACTAGGAAACATAAGTACATCACTTAGAAACTAGTACAAAAAGATGGGGGAAGAATGGGGTGAACTGGCGTCCGTGGCACTTTGAGAGGCGTGGGGAGCCAGGCCCCAAACTCTAGAGGCCTGTGTGGGGCGCGATGGCTGGCGCAGCGCCCCAAGGACCAAACTTCAGAGACTGGTTTGGGGCGCGCTGGTTGGCGCGACGCCCCACCCTATTCCCCAGGTGTTTGACGACTTTTCTTCTCCATTTTTCATCTCCAAACCCTCTAAACTTCCCTAGTTCTTTCCCCAATCACTTAGGATCATTATTACCTTCAACTTACAACAGATCTAACTCGAAAATCCACCCGGAAACACGAATTAAATCACTAAGAACCCTCAACAACACAACCAATCAAGAATTCGACAATTGTTCTTCAAGAACCTCACCTTTCAACATGTAAATAACTCCAAACCAAATGATTTGAAACAAGTTGATGTGTGGGTGAACAAACCCAACACAGAAAGATCTCACATACCTTGTAGGGATCACCCCTGACGAAATCCACAAGCAATTCTTTAATGCTCTTGACGAATCTTGAACTTCCTTCTCTTTTCTTCTCTTTTATTCTCTTTTCTCTTTTCTCCAAGCCCTAGCGTGAACTCAACTTTTTTTTTTCTGAACTGACTAAAATATGATTTTTACCCCAATTAACTCTTAAAAACGAATCAGAATAATAAGGTAAGGAAAAGACTAAAGTACCCTTAAAAAATCCGGTTTTAGACTTTCCTTATTCGAACAACCCAACTTCCAAAGGGAATAACTCACTCATACAAACTCAGAATCGTGCAAATTCGGTGGCGTTGGAAAGATCATTCGAAGGGCTTCCCAACCATATCTGGAAATACACCTAAATCATCCCGAGTTAGGAGTTATGGCCATTTGAATTTGACCAAAAACTCACTTTTCTTAACTTAAACAATTTTTTTCAGATTTTAATTCTTTCCAAAAATGACTATTTCCAATTATAAGCTTCTTCATAGTTATTTCAAAATGCGAGATGTTACAATATCTCCCCCTTGGGAACATTCGTCCTCAAATGAGATTACTCTTACTAGGATAAGGGTGTAATATCAATCATTCAGTTCAATCACACAATCCACCTTTGACACCTCAAAACACTATCTCCCCCCCTAGTTGAAAGGCCACCACTTTTTGCTTATTAACACTTGCCTTTAATTCAAGCAATAAAGGATCTTGGTCTTTCTTGCCTTTTATTTCTGACACTAATGATGGTTCAGACCCATTCATCACCACTATTCTTCCTTCTGTGGAATCCATTAATCGAACTCCTAATCATGCCAGTTTATGCACCTCTTGTGCTAACTCTTTCTTACCTTCATCAAAATGGGCGGTACAACCCATAAATAATCTATTCAAGGCATCAGCAACAACACTAGTCTTACCTGGGTGATAAAGAATGCTCATGTCATAATCTTTGAGTAGCTCCAACTACTCTCTGTGTCTGAGATTAAGCTTTTTCTGACTAAAAACTTACTGAAAACTTTGGTGATCGGTGAACACTTCCACATCAACACCATATAGATAATGGCGCCATATTTTCAAAGAAAAACTACGGCAACCAATTCTAGATCACAGGCTGGGTGATTCTTCTCATGAACTTTCAACCGCATCTTTCAACTCTTTCAACTTTTACAATTTTGTTGGTGCCATTCTATATGGCGGAATAGAGATAGGACGAGTATCTAGAATGATGTCTATGTCAAAGTTTATTTCTCTCTCAGGAGGGACTTCGGAAAGATCATCTGGGAAGACTTTTGGGAACTCTTTTACTACTGAGACTGAAACTGACTGAATAAGAGGTATCTCAACACTTGAGTCATTAACTCTGACTAAGTGATATACACACCCCTTAGAAACTAACTTTCTTGCCTTAAGGTACGAAATGAAACGACCCTTAGGCACTGTTGAACTACTATTTAACTCTATGACTGGCTTACTCGGAAACTGAAACTTGACTACTCGGATTCTATATTCAACTGAGGCATAACAGGCGTGAAGCCAGTCCATTCCAAGAATGACATCAAAGCCTACCATATCTAACTCAATTAAATCAGCCATGGTACTCTTGTGATTGACGGAAACAGGACAATCGTGATAGACTCTCTCTCTGCTAGAATAAACTCATAAACATGGGTAGAAACACTGAATGGTTCACTAAGTTGCTCAGGAATAATATCAAAATCCATAACAACACATGGAATTACAAAAGATAAACTCGCTTCTAGATCTAGCAAGGCATAAACAGTAAGGTCAAAGACTTGAATCATACCAGTGACAACATCTAGCGAATCCTCTTGCTCTTGGCGACTGTTGATAGCATATAAGTGGTTTGTTCCTCCACCCGTACCATTTCCTTGCATGAACTTTGGGAACTCTTCGTTGAAGTGACCCTCTTGGCCACACTTGAAACAACCTGACTGACCATCACGACACTTACCTGGGTGGATCCTACCACACCTAGCACATGCAGGATCCCAGTTACCTCCTTGTGCCACCCCCTACCTTGAGACCGTGCAGGCTTATCTTTGAACTCGTTCCCTGAAGTCTTAGCTCTTTTATTCTTAAACTCTTATCTATCCTTCAGCTTATACTCCTTGACTTGTTGTATATGAATCATAAACCTTGCTAGGTCCATATCCCCTATCATCATAGCTACATTGCCTTCTTTGCTTGACTGACGAGACAACCCAGCAACAAATAAACTCATCCTGCTCCTCATGTCAGCAACCATCTCCGGAGCATAGCGGGAAAATTGTGTGAACTTCAGACTGTACTCATGAACACTCATAGACTCAGGATTAAGGGTGAGACACTCTCTTATCTTTGCCTCTCGCAACTCACGAGGAAAGAAACGCCCCATAAGAGCACTCTCAAACACAACCCTACTCACTACTGGTGCATCATCAGCCCTATTCTTTTTCCATTGGTCGAACCAGATTCTAGCAACACCCTTCATTTGGTATGCAGCTAGTTCCACCATCTCTGCCTCAGCAATATGCATCACATCAAATACCCTTTTAAGCTCTTCAATGAAGTTCTCCGAATCTTCAGTGACACTTGAACCTGTGAAGCTTGGTAGGTTCATCCTTAAAAGCTCACAAATACTTAAAGTATCAACCACTTTGTGTCGAATATCTCTCTACCCAATGTGATAGGTCGCAACTTGACTTATCATCCAGATAGCTTCACGGAATTCAGCATGGGTAGCTTCTCCTTGAGGTTGCACTTCAGGTGCATTTGGTAACTCTCGTTCCTTGACAATCCTCTTAGTTGGACAACCTCTGACTGCTCTTCGTGTAGGCATGATTCTCTGGAAACACGCGCAAGCACGAATTAGAGGGAAACTTTTTGGAGATCAAACTCTAACGCACGAAATGAGTATGAAAGAAGTGAAGTA